CCTGTTTCCTCTCTTGAAGCTAGCACAGGACAGATTAAAACCCAACTAACATCTGGCCCATTCCTGAAGTTTTGAGTTGGATAACTTGGAGAATAATGGCTGTGCCCTTAATAGAAAAAGAGACATAAAGAGGAAGAGCTGGTTAGGGAAACAGACAGTGTTGGAAATGTTAGATTAAAGACTTACTACAATGTAGTAGGCAAATGTCCAAAAATTACTTTATTGTTATTTATAATTTATACTCTGAGTATTTTAGAAAGTATTACAATTTCTATTGTAAGAGCAGGGCTCTATTCCCACTTCCTGGCACAGTGCCTTTTACATAGGTATCCAGTAAATATTTGTTAAATATTTGTTAAATAAATGGAGACCGTTTACATCAAAACAAGCAGAAATTGAACTAGAGGTCCCTGATAAAATGGTTGAAGAGGATTAGTGTTTATTCATGTGAGGTTCTTGGACTGTCTGCATTAGGATTAATAGAAACGCTTGCTTAAATGCAGATTAATTGGGCCATGCCCCAGATACAATGAATCAAAAATCCTTGGGTGTATGTTTCAGGAATCTGAATTTTAATAAGTGCCTCCAGTGATTTTTAAGCATGTTCAAGTTAAAAGGAATTAGCCCTACAGAGGCCAGGGAAAACAAGAACAGATGAAGCATAAAGCCCAGAAAAAGTACAGATCTCCCTCAATTTAAGATGGAGTTACATCCTGATAAACCCACTGTAAATTGAAAATAGTGTGATTTGAAAGGCATTTAATCCACCTAACCTACTGAACACGATAGCTTATCCTAGCCAAGCCTACCTTAACGTGCTTAGAATGCTTACATTAGCCTACAGTTGGGCAAAATCATCTAACATAAAGCCTATTTTCCAGTAAAGTGTTGAATATCTCATGTAATTTATTAACTACTGTACTGAAAATGAAAATCTGAATGGTTGTATGGGCACAGAGGTTATCAGTGCATCGGCTGTTGGCCTTCATGATCCCGTGGCTGACTGGGAACTGCAGCTGCTGCTGTGGCTCAGCATCACCAGAGAGTGTGGTACCACATATTGCTAGCCCAGGAGAAGATCAAAATGCAAAATTCCAAGCACAGTTTCTATTGAATGTGTAGCATTCTCACACCGTCATAATTCCAAAAATCGTAAGTCAAACCGTCGTAAGTTGGGGACTGTATGTCTTTAGGAGACGGTACTTTTTAACATTTTAATGTCACTTACAGTTAGAAAATATTTGCAAAGCACCTTGGGGTACAAGAAGGAAAGACTGATGAAAGAAAGAAGTAACCAGTGCCAGGGGCTTTGGCTGGCTCAGGCCCCAACTGGTTGCTTCAAGGCTGACACACCAGTTATCTGTCTGTGACACTCAGGAAGCTCTGTCAAGGTTGAGAAGGAAATGAGAAGGAAAATGAACAATGAAAGGAGAATTTAAAGGAGGCATTTATCAAACAAGGCTCTGAACAGTACATTGCTCCAAAGTTAGAGATGCTGAGTATTCAAGGAACCGGAATGACTTTGGGTTTCAGTAGTTGGAAGGTTGAGGGAATCCTTGGAGTTGTAATGCAGAAGTGAAGGGAAGGAAAGGGGCATTTGTAAAATAAAGTGAATGTACTCCAAGGAAATAAAGGATACAAATATAGATGACTAGTGGAAGATTTTAACTGCTAAAGGGAAGGAGACAGTAGCTCAAAGAGTGTCGGGAAATGGGTTTGGTGGGATGGGGAGTAATAATAGATGTCTTACTTTGCTACATAAGAACAGAAAGTAGTTTTCATTGGTATGGATTTTGTAAGTTCTTACTTACTTTTCTTTTTTTAACTTTGTAATCATTTAGTATTCTAAGAAAGGATCTCAAAAGTCACCTTGAATTATAAGAAGGAATAATGGTTACAAATCAGGCCATTTAGTGCAGAGGGAATGCTGCCATTGAGGTGGATACTTCAGGAGCTGATGCTTTCAGGATCTCTTTTGGCTTGTTGTAAAATAGGTTTATGTTCTTTTTACTGTTTTAATCATCAGTCATAGAAATCCCATTCAGTGTTCTCGTGCCAGGTTAATCACTGGCCGTATTTTATAGCATTTCAATCTTCTAAGACTTTTATGCAGACTGAGAGGAACAGTTGGAAATTGCTTTAAATAATGTGACTTTAGGAATATATCTGTAGCAGGTGGAATAATTCCCCTTCTCCCAAAGATATCCATGTCCTAATCCCCAGAATTTGTGAATATGTTAATTTACATGACAAGGAGGAATTAAGGTTACAGATGAAATTAAGATTATTAATCACCTTAAAATAAGAGATTAACCTGGAGTACCCTGTAGGCTCAATTTAATCACAAGCGTCCTTTAAATGTGGAAGAGTCAGAGATTTGAAGATGCTATGCTGCTGGCTTTGAAAATGGAAAAAAAAGGGGGGGTCACAAGCCAAGGAATATGGGCAGTCTCTAGAAGCTTGAAAAAAGGCAAGGAAGAAACAGATTTCCCCCACAGCCTCCAGAATGAACCAGCCCTGCCAACGCCTTGATTGTAGCCCAGTGATATCCATTATGGGCTTCTGCCCCCCTGAACTGTAAAAGTGTAAATTTGTTGTTTTAAATCACTAAATTTATGGCATTTTCTTACATTAGCCAAATTAATATCCAAGGTTTATAATCTTAATTTTAAAACATATGTCTCATTTCTCTGTCAGACTATAAGTTCCTCTAGATCAGTAATCAGCTTCTGTGCTTGCCACACAGTATACATGATAAATGTTTATTGAATTTGAACCATTCTGTATATCAGATGGTCTCTCCATCATTTTTGAGGAGAGTTGCTTACCATTCTTAAAGTCTCTACTCACCTGGGTACATGCTACATAGAGAAGCAGCTGCATTGCAGTCAGTACCTGCAGTTCTGAACCTCTTCCTTAGTGACTTTTGATTGGAGAAGGGGTACTCATTTAAACCAGTTGGTTTTCTCTGGCTCAAGTGTTTTAATACATGAGACTTATAGCTTCTAATCAACAGTTTCATGGGCTTCTTGTGCCTTAATTTCAACTGCTCTAGAGTAAGACTACCTGTCTGAGAAACGCCATCCTCCTGAGGTTTATAGAAGCTTATATTTTAATTTGTACCATCCCAAACAGTCTCAAAATTTGGTGAAAATCTAAAAAAAAAAAAATTTCTCACAATGTCATAACAGACCTACAGATAAACTACTGATTTTTAAAGATTTGCATTCATTTCCCTCCCAGTCTTTAGATAAAAAAACCAGTAAAATTGAAGACTTAGAATGGGAACAGTTTTAGATGTGTTATGCACTGTTCCTTGGGATGTAATATGTATTAGTAATCTATTGCTGCTGTAATTTAGTAGCTTAAAACAACAAACATTTATTATATAATTTCTATTGGTTAGAAATCCAGGAGCAGCTTACCTAGGTGGTTGTGACTCAGGGCTTCTTAGGAGGCTGCATCAAGTTGTGAGTCAAGGCTGCAGTTATCTCAAGGCTTGACTGATAGAGAATTTACTTCCAAGTTCTTTCACGTGGTTGTTGACTGGTCTCAAAAATCTGCTTCTAAAGAGCTGACTTACGTAGGCCTCACCAGGCTGCCTAATAGCATAGCAGCTGCTTGCCCCAGAGTGAGTCATCTTGCTAAGACAATGCCCAAGCAGAAGACACATTCTATTAGAGACAAGTCAGTAAATCCAGCCCATCCTTAAGGGAAGGGGATCATTGGGGGCCATCTTAGAAGCTGGCTACCACACATATATAATATTCCTAACTGAAATTAAATTTAATAATATCAAATATTTTGTGAGGAAACCGCAAATAAATTTCTCATATTAGATATAAAATAAAAATGGAAGCCTTTTAACTTTCACAGGGTAAATTCAGAAGGTACATTAAAATAACAGAATTTACTTTTTTTAACCATACTTCCCTCAGATTGTCTAATTCTGACTTCCTATTCCAACTTGTCCCTTCATTTTAAAAATTGTACTTCCCGTAGTCTCCTAAAAACAATTGAAAGCAGCTTATAGAAATATGTAAAATGTTATAAGAATTGAAATTAAAGATGAAAGACAGAGAAAACTCAGAAATAAAACTACTACACAAAGGTCCTAGTCTGGTGAAAACTGAAGACCTAGCAAAGATCCATAGCTATGTGGCTGAATAAGTTGATGTTAAGAAAATGAAAAGGCAAGACCAAGACTAGGAAAAGAATACTTACAAGACAAATATCTGATCAAAGTCTTATGTCTACAATATATAAAGAACTCTTATAAGTCTATAACAATAAGAAAAACAACCTGGTTTTTTAAAATAGGGAAAAAATTTGAATACATATTTTATCAAAGAAGATCTATGAATGACATACAAAATATGAGATACTATTACACCACCACTCAAATGGCTAAAATTAAAGACTGACAATACCAACTATCAGTAAGAATGTAGCACAACTAGAACTCTTAGTTCACATTTTTTATAAAGTTAATCATACAATCCCACTCCTCGTTATTTTACACAAGAGAAATGACACAAATAAAAAATACAGTGCTCATATTCCATAAATAAGAGTTAAAAAAATAAATAAGCTAGCATTCTTTATTGGTTCTTACTAGAATTTATATTTTTGACTGCCTAAAATGACCTCTACCTGGTAGCAGTATTTTTCAGTCCTTTTTTTTTTTTTTTTGCCATTTCCCTTACTGCTGGCTTAAGCTACCTGAGATGTGTTACTTTGTATTTGTCATTTTTATACAGTAAGGGTTAAATAGAGGTTTATTTTTATTATACATAGATTAATTATAGTAGATAGCAAATGGAACAGTTTTTGTATTCATGAATAATGGGTCTTTGTGAGATAATTCCATTCACTTAAACTCTTCTTTTGTCTCTTTAACAAGCATATCAACCCAAAATAATTCTTTGTAGTATTTAGCTGCCTACTTATTATTTAAATTCCAGCCCTTACACTTAGATGATTATATGTATTTTCAACAGTGATTCTTTTCTTGCACACCGAGAAAGTATGCGACAGATGATGAGAAGTTTTTCTGAACCTTTTGGAAGAGACTTGCTCAGCATCTCTGATGGTAGAGGAAGAGCTCATAATCGTATCAGACATGATGATGGCGAAAATTCCTTGACTGTAAGTTCTTTATTTTAAGTTAGTGAGAAGGTCCTATAGAATTTGAAGAAAATTATTACAGAAGAATATTATCTATGATGTTAGGATATGAATAATGCTTATGTTATAGAAATAACTATTATATAAAAAGGTGGTCTTGTTGTAAAGCTGAATCCTTTAACAATGAATTGTTAGCTGTATGAAATTCCACCCCACTACCAAAACTTTAGGACCATAGAGTTATATATTATAAGCCAAACTTAGAGCATTAGTTTTCATAAGTGTCTATAGTTTGTTCTGCATGGCTACCTTGGGGGGCCTTCAAAACTTAAATTAACTTTTAACTGTATTTAAATCCTTGCATAACTACAGAATATTTTCGTAAGTTTTATCTGAGAGGAAACCTAGGAGGTTACAAACATATTCAACTAAAAAAAAATCCAGGATGCTAATATATCTTATTTTCTTCTCTTTTCATTTTATTTCTATTGCTTTTTCAAACTCAGGAATGGCAGTTCTAGAATAAAAATCCACAGGAGTTTCTGGTTTTGTTTTCTCTTAATTAGTTAATTAATTTTTGCTATTACCTAAGTCTTTCATACTTAGACATAAATATGTCATATGTATCGCAACCTAGGGAAGAAAAGGTGAGCCATATCTCGCCAGTATAAATTATAAATATACAGGAAAAAAATAAGTTTTGGCTAAAAGAGAGGCTGAATATTTCAAATAATCCTAAGAAGTTTGATGGATAAAATTAGATTTACCATATAAATGAAATTTTCACATTCTTTTTCTTATTATTCCAACATGTGTTACTCATATTCCAGTTGTTTTCTTTCAATTACTGAATAGTGGTATTTTTATATATATGTTTTTTTTACATCTGGGGCTATCAATTTCCAAAGTCTAAAATTAAGATCTAAGGAACCACCTCACACCCGTCAGAATGGCTAAAATTAACAACTCAGGGAACGACAGATGTTGGCGGGGATGTGGAGAAAGGGGAACCCTCCTACACTGTTGGTGGGAATGCAAGCTGGTGCAACCCCTCTGGAAAACAGTATGGAGGTTCCTCAAACAGTTGAAATTAGAGCTACCATTCGATCCAGCAATTGCACTACTGGGTATTTACCCCAAAGATACAAATGTAGGGACCCGAAGGGGTACATGCACCCCAGTGTTTATAGCAGCAATGTCCACAATAGCCAAACTGTGGAAAGAGCCAAGATGTCCATCGACAGATGAATGGATAAAGAAGATGTGGTATATATACACAATGGAATATTATGTAGCCATCAAAAGGAATGAGATCTTGCCATTTGCAACGACGTGGATGGAACTGGAGGGTGTTATGCTTAGTGAAATAAGTCAATCAGAGAAAGACATGTATCATATGACCTCACTGATATGAGGAATTCTTAATCTCAGGAACAAACTGAGGGTTGCTGGAGTGGTCGGGGGTGGGAGGGATGGGGTGGCTGGGTGATAGACATTGGGGAGGGTATGTGCTACGGTGAGCGCTGTGAATTGTGTAAGACTGTTGAATCACAGATCTGTACTTCTGAAACAAATAACGCAACATATTTTAAGAACAAAGAAAAAGAAGAAGATAGCAGGAGAGGAAGAATGAAGGGGAGTAAGTCAGAGGGGGAGACGAACCAGGAGAGATGATGGACTCTGAAAAACAAACTGAGGTTTCTAGAGGGGAGGAGGGTAGGGGGATGGGTTAGCCTGGTGATGGGTATTAAAGAGGGCACATTCTGCATGGAGCACTGGGTGTTATGAACAAACAATGAATCATGGAACACTACACCAAAACAAATGATGTAATATATGGTGATTAACATAACAATAAAAAATTAAAATAAATAAAATTAAGATCTAAGGAAAAATTATCAAGGAGGGCAGAAATATCACTTATAAAGACATTCTGAAATTTTATCTTTAACATGAGCATTGAAATATTTTGTCTATCTGCTATAACCATAGCAAGGCAGAAGTAAGACTCTATATAGTACTTTGTATTTATGTGCGTAAATGAGCTACTTGTAGCTTTTGTGGAAGAAGGAAGGTGTGACGATTTTATTCCCAATGGAAAAAGAGACATTAGGGGCACCTGGGTGGTTCAGTCATTAAGTGTCTGCCTTTGGCTCAGGTCATGATCCCAGGGTCCTGGGATCAAGCCCCACATCGGGCTCCCTGCTCTGTGGGAAGCCTGCTTCTCCCTCTCCCGCTCCCCCTGCTTGTGTTCCCTCTCTCACTGTCTCTCTCTGTGTCAAATAAATAAAATCTTAAAAAAAAAAAAGACATTATATCGTATCAGCTATGTTAGAATGCTAACACCAATGCACTTTTTTCTTGTTCAAGCTGTATGAAAACACTTTGCCAGCCAAGAGTACTGAGTATTGTCCTAGGGCAGTAATAATTTTTTAAAATATAGATTTACAACAGAGTTACAGCAGATTTTCCAAGGAACATTCAGCCTCTCTTTTAGCCAAAACTCATTTTATAATTTATACTAAGGTAATAGCAAAAATAAATAAACAAAAACAAACGAACAATAGCAACGAAAGACCTCTATGCCAACTTGAACTTTTCTAAGTCTGTGTTTTATAACTAGATGTGAAAGTAGGAACAGAAATTAGAAATTGACTGCAGAAGATGGGAAAGACTGCTGCTATTTGAAAAGAACACAGCCAAGAGAACAACCAGCTTTTTTGAGCATTCTGCTGTTCTAGTCCATTTAAACTAATAAAAATTCATTGAAATCTTCTTTCTCCCTCTAGTGAAGCTGTAAAGTTTTCTTAAATATTTCTAAAGATTTTTCTTATTTGAGAGAGTGCACATGAGTGTGGGGAGGGGCAGAGGGAAAGGGAGAGAGAGAATCCTAAGCAGACTCAGTGTGGAGCCTGGTGCTGAGCACAGGACTGGATCCCAGGACCCTGAGATCATGACCTGAGTGGAAATGAAGAGGCTGAAATGAAAGAGTCCAAAGCTTAACCGACTGAACCACCTAGGTGCCCTAAGCTACAAGTTTTTAAATGAGTGTTTTGATTAAGCAGTGAGCCATTATGCTGTTGCCTTTAAGCATAGTGGATGAAAATCTGTATTTCAGATAGACATCTTGATAATTTTTTCTTTATTTTTGGCCCATTACTTGACATTTGTCTTTTTCGGCAGCGGGGAGGGAGAGAGAGAATCTTAAGCAGGCTCCATACCCAGCGCACAGCCTGATTCTGGGCTTGATCTCATGACCCTGAGACTGTGACCTAAGCTGAAATCAACAGTCAGATGCTTAACCAACTGAGCCACCCAGGCCCTCTCTGACATTTGTCATCTTTGTCAGCCATTTTATGAAGGAAAACAAAGACTCCTACAAAAGTAGGGGAAGCATCAGCTATGATATTTTCTTGTTTATATTAGCATTTTCTTCAGTTCACAATTTCTTTATGGGGATATTTTTAAGCCACTTGTCCATTTTGAGAGGATTAGTTTTGTTTAAAACTAGTTTTTTTTTAATTTTTAAATTTTTTAGATTTTACCTATTCATTTTAGAGTTAGAGCATGAGAGGGGGGAGGAGCAGAGGGAGGGGCAGAGGGAGAGGGACAAGTAGACTACGCACTGAGTGCTGACCCCATCTTGGGGCTTGATACCACGACCCTGAGATCATGTCCCCAACTGAAATCAAGACTCCGCTGCCCAACCAACTGAGCCGCCCAGATGCCCCTAAAACTAGATAATTTAATCTGTAAATATATTAAGCAGTTTATAATTCAAGGTATGACATGCAACCCTCTAACATTTAGATTGAGTGATAGCACCAGAGTCAATCTACAATGTTTTTATTTTCAGTGAAAAGAAATAGAGAAATTGTATTGATGCGTCCAATACACTTTGGAGATTACTGTTCTAAATATGTAGTATAAATATATATCATCTGATATAATTTATTATAAAATTTAATATAAGTACACAAGTTTTTTCTATTTTTCAACAAAATTTACACAAGGAAAAATTATTACTGAATGATGGTAAAATTTTACATATACCATTTACCCCAAAATTTAATTTTCAATATTTGAAACTTCTAAGTAATGAAAGTTTTTAATTTGTATATATGTCTGTCTAAAATTTTATTTTTACTTATCTGTACCTACTGAGGAATACAATTTGTGAACTATTAGATAATTCTATAATATTCTTTTGCCTATCAAAGACCCTACAGGGGCGCCTGGGTGGCTCAGTCGTTAAGCATCTGCCTTCGGTTCAGGTCATGATCCCAGGGTCCTGGGATGAAGCCCTGCATCGGGCTCCCTGCTCCATGGGAAGCCTGCTTCTCCCTCTCCCACTTCCCCTGCTTGTGTTCCCTCTCTTGCTGTGTCTCTGTCAAATAAATAAATAAAATCATAAAAAAAAAGACCCTACATATTTTTAAATCTGTATGTGATGCTTTCTGAAGTTTTTTTTTTTATTCCGTGTATTAGTTCTTAGGAGGTATTCATTAATTTTTTTGCCCAATATCTCTACTTTTGAAATGTTACTAATGTAGATAATTGCTTATTTTTAATCGGTTATAAACAAGTTTAACTCATCTTTTAAAAAATATGGAATAGTTGAGCAAAGGAAAGATGAGATCTTAATAATTGTACCTTATGTTTTAATTTTGGTGTGAATTTGTATTTCCTTTGAGAAATGTTTGTATTAATCTATAGCAAAGACTTTTTCTTTCAACTGCCTTTGGTAAATACTACAGTAGTCATATTTAAAAGTGGTATATGGTCTCTCTATTTGTCTGCCAGGCTCCTGTCAGGTTTTATGATGAATAATAAGTGGATAGTTTTTAAAATATATGTTGAGGATTTTTTTATTAAATGATTTAAAACTTTGTCAGCTCTGAACTATGTGATTATATAGTACATTTCTTTTTTGGGGATTACTATATAATAAATATCATAACCAAAATTAACTGAATTTTTTTTTCTAGGCAATGAATTCTCTTGTGCCTTTTGGCAGTTTTGGTGGTATGGTTCGTATCATGAGACACAAACCATTTTAGCAATATTTTCTGACAAATATTTGTTTTTCATTAACTCAAGCAAAGTGAATTGGCATGCAGTTTCACTTATTTTCAAAATAGCTTTTTAGAATTTGTAGTGAAACCTGTTTGTGTATTAATCTTAGAGTATTCAGGCATGTTTTTTTCTGAACTAAGTCATATCAGCATATATAAAATCAGTCTCAAAAAAAGAAAAAATACAGTTTAATAGATGAATATTCACTTGAATAACAAAAGGGATCCCCATAGTTTGTTTGAAAGTTTGGACACTTCCACATGCTTATGATGACTTTCCAAAAGATGCTAAAGCACCAAACTGTAGCTAGAGGAGCACATTTGGAGAAGCTCAGATTTTCTGCTTTTTCTAGGACTCTAAAGTTAGTTTGTTCATGCTGCTTTTCCATTCCCACATCTAAGAATGACTATTCTACAACCAGCTTTTCTCCCACTCCTGTTTCTTTTCTGTGATGCTAGTTTCTAATACACTTAAAAGCAGCAGCCTGAGGAGTAGCAGAGAATAGCATGACTTTGGAACATTTCCTGTGGATGCATCTATTCTCTTATGAAAAAGTTTCTTCTTATTGTGTTAGACTTAAGCCATTTGTCTCCTTAAAGTTTGACATGCCACATTTGTCCTTTCTGACCAGAGTCTTCAGTGGGACAAATGACAAATTAAAAAAAGCAGTTATAGCACAGAGTTATCACTAAAATGATCAGGAAGTTCAGCATGCTGTGGAAGCACAGATAGAAAAAAACCTGTTACCCAGACCTTTTGATGTATTAGGGTGGTGGTGTGGAGGTTAATCAGAGATTTCTGGAACCTTAAGGTTGAATAGGAATTAGCCAGGAAAAGAAGGGAGAGGAGAAAAAGAGTGTTCAACACAGAAGAAACAGCATGTGCAAAGACCTGGTGGCTAGGGAGCTCAAAGATGTTAGGATCACTTGGCCCTGGAGCATGAGTTGGAGAGTAGATAAAGATGGGATGGATGGTAACCAGGGACTTCTTTTGTCCTGGTAAGGACTGTGGACATTATCTTAAGAACAGGGGAAGCAGTTGATGAATTTTCACCAAAATGGTGATAGAGGCAGGTTCTCGTTTTTGAAAGATTATTGTACCTTCAAGGGAAGGAGAGATTAGGAAGGACCATATATGAGGCAGGGAGGCCAGGAGGCCGTTGAAGTGCTCTGGGAAATATTAGTAATGGCTTCTACTTGGGCAATGCCTGTGGTGTCTCATTTGAGAGTTAAAGAGGTGAATGGGTAAAACTTTGGGATTTACTGGGTTGAAAGGAAAGTAGAGAGGGAAAAGGAAAGTATTATGCCCATTTTTTTGGCATGAGGAATTAGCTAGATGGGAATGCCACTGAGCTAAGGAACAGTGCATTCATATAGAATGAGAGCAGCGGTGGTCAAAGGATCATTTCAGTTTGGGGTGTTGGGCATTTGAGGCATCCATGTATGTCCAGGTGGATTTATCTGGTGAACAATTGAACATATGGGTTTGAGCTGAGCTAGAGCTAATTTGTTCATTCATTCAGCAAATATTTATTGAGCCCTCCTTATGTGCCAGGAATTATTTTTTATTTTTTTTTAAAGATTTTATTTATTTGACAGAGAGAGCACAAGCAGAAGGAGAGAGAGGGAGAAGCAGGCTCCCTGCTGAGCAAGGAGCCCGATGTGGGACTCGATCCCAGGACCCTGGGATCACGACCCGGGCCAAAGGCAGCCGCTTAACCGACTGAGCCACCCAGGCATCCCTGCCAGGAATTATTTTAAAAGTATTGAGAATATAGTAGTGAATAAGACAGAGAAGATAGCCCTGCCTTCACAAAGGTGATTTCTACAGAATGGGAAAACAGGCAATAAACAACAAAATAATTTCAGATAAAGTACTTCAAAGTACTCTGAAGGAGATGAAGAAGGGCAATGATACAATGACAGCTGGGAGGTGAAGCAGAGATTACTTTTGCAGCTGGCCTTTTTAAGGAGGTGATACTGGAATGATGAGAAGAAACTATGCTGAGACTCAGGATAAAAACATTCATGCAGAGAGAAGAACATGTGTACAAAGTTCCCAAAGACCTTAGGAGCCCACTGGAATCTTACCTCTAATTTGTACCCACGCTTTTTGTCACTCCAAGTTGTTGGGCCACCCCACAGCAAGTACAGATACACTTTGACAGTGAATTGAGAAAAGGGCAGAATATACCCAAACATCTGATCTTTTCTTCCCTCTTCTCCTCTTCTCATTTGGGCTAGCCCTTCCAACTCTCATGAATTGTATCTCTCATATATAGCCCTGATTTCTCAACCTGGTGTTGAAACAAAGTGTTCAGAATGTTTCCTGAATTGTGTTGAATCTCTGAAATGCAGATTAATTCTACTGCAGTCCTTTGTGTACCCAAAGATATATCAGTATCTCCTAAATGTGCCGTTGTTGTTCCCTGTGGTGTTAAATGCAGGTTCTAAAGGAGAATTTGGTTTTCCCATCTGTTTCCCTTTGTTACAAGTAATAAAAACCCATTGGAAGGCAGAGACATAGACAGGCCTTTGATAATTCTTTATTGAGTCCCAGCTTGGCATACAGCAAAAGAATCTCTAGAGAATGCCAGAAATACTGGCATTGAACTACAGTGCCTTACAGGATTCAGAAGACTTCTGTTTGAGTAGAGGAGTTCCTTAAATCAAACCCTCCTTCTGTTTTATAATAGTAAACAATGCATCAGGTGGCATGCTAAAATGTGTGCTTCACTTTTTAATTTCTCATGAGTGTTCTTATGGTAAAACTTAAAATCAATAGCAGATTTTTCTAGAGCAGAGCTTCTCAGCCCCTGACACCATTGACAAAATTTTAGACTAGAAAATTCTTGTTCTAGGGGGGCTGTCCAGTCTTTGTAGGATTTTAGCAGTGTCCCTGACCTTTTCTCAGCAGATGACGGTCATACACCCACCTCAGTTGTGACACACAAAAATGAATGTAATTATGAACAAATGTCCCCTGGGAGTCAAAATCAGTTTTGACTAAGAAACCACAGTTCTAGAAGAATTAACTATTCTTCTAAAGAAGCATATGCTCTGCCTAAAGGGAATGTTCTGAGCCTTCTGTGGTAGGCAGCAAATTCCAGGCCTACCAGTAGAGTGAATTAACCTCTCTCACTTGGATCCTTTTATGTAAAGGAGAGCCAAAGATCTCAGAGGCAGTTTCTATCAGCTGTGTCATACTGGTGGAAGTGACATTGGTATCTTATACCCAAGTTTTATTGATTGAGGGGAAAGAAGGAAAAACTTGAAAACTAGTCTATGCTAGAGTTGTCCCCGCCCAGAATACACCATCCAGTATTTAAATATAACTAAATTGTGTTTTGAGAAAGTTGATAAATGTGTGTTTATATGTTCATGCATGTATATATGTGTGTATATACACACGCGTATGTATGCATGTATTTATAGTGTTGCAACTCCCTAATCATTTATATGTTGGCTGTTTGAGATTTTGTATATGCTTCCATTTTTTCTTTAACGAATCGCTTTTTTGTATAGTCCTTAAATTATCTTTGCCTGGTTGAGTGCTGCATGAGCTCCCACTGCGTAAATCAAGAAAAAAAAATTTCAGCTGTTTTGGGAAGGTTGATTTGCTTCTTTTGTGTTGTACTAATAGTTAATAACATACTTCCTAATATCCTGTAGCGTACAGATGTCAACCCTTTTCAGGCAATGGACCGAATGATGTTAAATATGCGAAACAGTATGCAGGAATTACAAAGAAACTTTGTAAGTACTAAAAAATTGATGAGAACATTATTTTCAGTTATTGGTACCCTATATTATTGTGGCTTTCAACTTTTTTTTAATCGTGGTCCACAGTGGTTGAAAAATATATCTTAACAGTATGACCCAGTACATAATACTTGTGTACTGTATAAATAAACCTGAAACAATTTTTATGAGAAAATGATCATACTATTTACAGTGTGTGCTTAATTTTCTATTTTAGTTCATATTTTAAAAATCCTGGTCACAACCCACCAAATTGATTTCACAATCTATGAGTTTGCATTAATTAGCTTTCAAAATTAAAAAAAACACAACCTCAAAAACATTTATCCTGCTGAAGGTAACTATTGTAAATGCACATTTTATATGAATTCAGGCTTTTTAATTATTTTTAGCTTGTCTACCTAAAAGGATTTGTAGCATCTAGGAAATTAAGTTTTAGTGTTTTCTTAAAAAAAGCTGAAAACAGAAATTTGAGGAATGATGTTTAGGCATTGGATTAGATCCATAAAGTCCAAATAGTTATAAACTAATGCTAATACTCTTACTTTTCTACTCATAATATTAACATTAAAAAATTAACTTGATTCAATATGAAAAAGACTCATATTATTTAGTCATCCAGTTTAACATCTAAGGATCATTTCAGAATGTCCAAATCTAGGGCATTATTAATGATTTTCATAATCTAGCAATCTGGTACCCACAGGAGGTATAAAACTTGGTGTATGGCTGATGGGCTCAGCATTGGCAAAATTGCACACAAGGGTCAACCACTGACTATAAAGGCATCATAGGCTTCAGGGCACAGCATCTATATTTAAATCTAAGCTGCAAGTCTTTGATCACAAAGACTTAAGGATCTCTGAGTGAGTCACTTCCTATTATTCCTCACAAGGAGAGTGAGAATTGGTACCTAAAATGGAAGGAGATGAGGACCTTCCTGGGGGTGCCATTTGGATATACCATATTGATAGTATGGTATCCTTAGTAGAACTTTAGCTAGTATTGTTACTTATTTGAATCCTCTAAAATCAGTTCCTCATATTTGACTAAACTCTCTGGATTGACAATTTATATTTATCTCTAGGGTCACCTTTCAGTGGATCCAAATGGACATTCATTTAGTTCTTCCTCAGTTATGACTTATTCCAAAGTAGGAGATGAGCCACCAAAGGTTTTCCAGGCCTCAACTCAAACCCGTAGGGCTCCAGGAGGAGTAAGTATTTTCTGAGCGTTCTTGGAGCTTTATAAAGTTGTGGAATGTGAAATCTATCGATCACCTATATTGGATTTTAATTATTTAAGCTTGATCTGGTACTCTGCGGGTAGAGATGAGGGAAGAAGACACATATCACTGTGAAACACAATAATGCTAACTGTATTTACTTAGTTTAAGGCATTTTTTTCTCCCCCTCCACCTCAGATGCCTTTTTTCATGTAAATATCTATTGATGTTTATTATTACCTTTACATGTTGACCAGGTAAGTAGACATTAAAAGAAGTCTTTGTCTCATGAAATAAATATCTATTTTTAATTTATATCTGAAGTAAATGAGTTTTTTTAACTCATGAAATACCTCAAGTGTACAGAAAAGATATAGAAAATAATGTAATAAATACCCACATTCCTTCCACCCAGTTTAGTCAACTCATAACATTTTTCTCTATTTGCTTTAAGTTGTCCCTTATTTTTTTTTTCTTTTTAAGCAAAAATATTAGATGCAGTTAAAGCTTTCAGTGCACTCTTCCCTCCCTGGTTCCTTTTTTCCCTTTTACTCCCTCCCCACAAAAGAACCATTTTTCTGTATCTGGAACTTGTCATTCTCATGTATGTTTTTATAATTTTATTACTTACGTATGCTTCATAAGCAATATAATGAATTATTTTATGGGTTTCTAAACTTTATATAAATGGTTTCATGCTGCATGTGTCTTCTGCAACTTGACTTTTGCTCAGTAATGTTTCTGAGATTTATTCAAGTTTATAGATAGAGCTGTTTATTTGACTTCTATATATTAACTGAAATATGGATACACCACAGTTTTTAATCTGTTTTTCTGTTGATTGATTTTTAGGTATTTCTAATTTTTCACTTATCTTTATACATGTCTCCTCTTGCAAATGGTTTAGGAAGGGTATTGTTGGTTTGTAGGAGGTGGATGTCTTCATCTTTACCTAAAAATTACTAAGTTACTATCCCACAGTGATTGAAACAGTTAGCTCCCATGAAGTCTGGTATGAGAGTTCCTATTTCTACGCTTCCTCATTAGTACTTATAGTAAAAAAAAAAAATTAGGTTTGCCTGTTTAATGCATGTGAATAGTCCATTTTTTAGTTTTTACATATAAAGACACCTTTTCATCATGCTCTTGCCATAGTGCACACATTTTCATTTTAACTTGCTATAAGTAACATACATCTTAAATGTAAACAATTTAATTGTTGCCATCCCACAGCAAACCATGCTAATATTAATAGTCTTTGGCTATCATGAATATTCTCATAACCCATAGAGTTGATATGTAGGAGCCATGAGATTCAAGCCCATCGACATGACTGCTGAATAATCAGTTACCCTTACTTAGAGGGATGTACTCCCAACTATTACACTATTAAGGACAGTGTTGAAGGCACTAAGTTTTATATAATTAGGTTATTATTTGTTATGCCATTTGATTACAATTTAGAAAAAGTTTGTATTGGTTCTATTTGCCCTAGACATTTTAATTTTAAGTAGTTTTTAAAATATCAGAGAACTATTACCACAATTTTACTGCAAGTTGGTAGTGGAACTGAGTACCCAGTTTTTTAGGGCTGTAGATTTATGGTCTTACTTCTATAAGTAAACAGGTCCTGAGGAATTGAGAATTATATCCATTCTCTATATATTTAAGTAATAACTAATTTTTATTTTCCTCATTTTTACAGATAAAGGAAACTAGGAGAGCAATGAGAGATTCTGATAGTGGACTAGAAAAAATGGCTGTTGGTCATCATCTTCATGACCGAGCTCATGTCATTAAAAAGTCAAAGAACAACAAGACTGGAGATGAAGAGGTCAATCAAGAGTTCATCAATATGAATGAAAGTAAGTTGTCACAGAAAATAGCATTCTTCCTCTTAAAATACTGGTAGAACTTGATGAATGTTTTTTGTAGAAACATTCCATAAGATGTCATTTCAAGGTAGTTTATGAATAATATGTAGGGACTACCTTATCAAAGTAATAAAATTGTGGTTTCATTGTTTCATAGTAGATTTGTTTTTTATAGTGATTTTTGGTAATGTTACTTATTTTTTGTTTTATACATGGAAAATGGAATCTTTTGGAATTGTCATTTAGTAAGACCGCCAGTAGGCAAAATGAGTTTTTAAATATTTCTAAGATATATTTGAAAAGTATAAAAAAAGAATAAAGAAAACTAAAATTATCCATAATCCCAACCCAAAATAACTATTAATGTTTTAATGTATTTCTTCCTAGTAGTTTTATGTATATATTAACACATATACTTTTTCTCAAAATTAGTATTTTACTATCTAGTTTATATTGTGCCTATTTTAATTCACCATTATAACTGTGAAAACAGTCACCTATGATGTTGTTTTTCAAAAATATTCTAAATGGTTACCTAAAAGTTTTCATGAATGGGCCGTAATTTATTTAAATCATTCTGTATTGTTGGGCACTTAAGTTTTTGTATAGATAAGATTTTAATTTCTTGTATTAAGTATGTCTTTCCATTTTCTAGGTTTTTTTTTTTTTTTAAGATTTATTTATTTATTTATTTGACAGATAGAGACGTAAGTGGGAGGGAGAGGGAGAAGCAGGCTTCCTGCTGAGCAGGGAGCCTGATGTGGGGCTTGATCCCAGGATCCCGGGATCATGACCTGAGCTGAAGGGCTCGATCCCAGGACCCTGGGACCATGACCTGAGCTGAAGGCAGATGCTTAATGACTGAGCCACCCAGGCACCTCTCCATTTTCTAGGTTTTATATTCATTCTTCAATGCATTTAAGTCCTTCCAGTGTCCTAACTCTTCTCATTGTGGTTTTTGGGTTATATTCATCTACTTTCAAAAAGTATTTTGAATAAAAGTGTCACTTTAAATTTAAATTATTTAAATGGAAATGGTTTAAATTATCATATAATTTCAGAAAAAGAAATTCTCTTAGGGTTGGCTTGGAGAAAATTATTTTTATGCAATGAGATGGAAGCTACAACATCTTAACCTTTCTTTAATTTTAATCTTTGTAGTTTTGTCATAGTTAAATATATACAGAGTACTTCACAATAATTAACATGTTGAAGAAAAAATCAGTGAAGGAACACATTATTATTATAAAGGCCATCTGATAGAACAAGTATTACCATTTACCTGTTGTTGTTATTAAAGTTAGATTGCCTACTTCATAACAAATTGACAGTTGAGTAACCTGTTTTAGGAAATTGACAACAGAAGCTTGCGAGGTAAGCCAAGTTATTATGTAGGAAAACGGTGAGGTTAATAGGAAGTGTTAGTTACAGTAGAAGTGCCCAAGTACTGAGGAAAAGCATGATCACCAGGAAGATGACCCAAGAAGAAAGACTGTAAGTGTAATTGGGTCAAAGGGTTCACTGGATAGAATAATATGATATCCAAGCAGGTGCATGAAAAACCAGATCATCGGGGCACCTGGGTGGCTCAGTCAGAATAAACGTCTGCCTTCAGCTCAGGTCATGATCCCAGGGTCCTGGGATCGAGCCCCACATCCAGCTCCTTGCTCAGTGGGGAGTCTTCTTCTCCCTCTCCCTCTGCCGGCTGCTCTGGCTTCTTGGGCCTGCTCTCTCTGTGTCAAATAAATAAATAAAATCTTTAAAAAAAATCATCAATAACCAAATTATCAATAGGAATAAAAGAGGAACAGACAAAAAAGGAAATACTACTCTGAATCAAAGACCTTTATATTTGGAGCAGTTCCCTGCCTCTGTCTTGAGGTTAGGCTGATGGAAACACAAGGCCAAAATCAAGTATGTGGGAGCCAAGGCAGTTACTGACAGTTGATATCTTAATACTTGCCCCTTTATTTTGATATTTAATGTAGGTGACGCTCATGCTTTTGACAGTGAGTGGCAAAATGAGATTTTGAAGTACAAACCAGTGGGACAGTGGCACAATGTAGAAAACCCTAGGATGAGAAGTGTTGGTCATGAGAATTCAGGCTGCCGAGAACTTAAAAGAAGGTAAAGTTATTTCTAAAATAAATTGTGTTTTTTAAGAAGAATTAGGAGAAAAGTTACATAATTTTACCTCTGTATCAGGAAGTTTTGATTAACATCCCTTGTTTGTATCAACAGTATCTTTTGTGAAGGATGTAATGATTTTACATTTTATCTGAGCATTCCACACAAATTTGAATTTGTATCTAAAAACTAATAATATTTTAAGATTGTATGATTAGTAACTCACTAGCAAATTATGCTTCAAAAGATAGGGGCTAAAATCCTTCTAAGGAAAAGTGAAATACCATAATGTAGTTACTCTTGTAAAGCAGATTTTAATCTGGATATAGTAGGAGTCATACATTTCATGCCAGGTAAAGATATTGGTATCTAGAGATATGATAAGGAGAGAGGGGCTCTATTTGAAAGGCTTATAACAAAACTCTCCTAATAAGTCAATGGTAAACGCATTTTTAGATACTTGTATAGTATATAACATTATCTGCACCTATATTAGGCATTAGATATTAGCTATTTTGGAAGAATTTTTCCAAAACTTTAGCCTCCTTTGGGATTACCTTTGGAATAGCTGTGCTGAAACCACACCTTAAAGATTATAGAGATTTTTGTACATGAATGTATATTCTAGAATTGGAATTTAATTTGGCTCTCTGGAGGAAAAATGGAAAACAATACCTCGTTCCTATTAAGTTTACACTTGAGAGAGAGAGAGGCCTCATCAGGCCTTAAAACAGAAATCTGTTCTAGGCCATAAGAGAGTGGAGGATTGCTGCAGAAAGTGAAAGTTTTAACAGAACCAGCGGTGGACAAGTGGGTATCAAGTAAATCAGAAGCCTTGTGCAGAATTTCATGAGCTAGCGTCTTTTATTTTAAAATACTTATTTAGGATTTTAGAGCCCTAATTTCTGTATAAAATTAGCTTCTGTATTACTTTTAGACAATATTTGTCTAACTTTGAAAAGTTTATTGATAAAAAACCTTACAGTACTAAGTTTGACTATGAAATCCAGGTCCCTGTTAAAGAAAGCATGCTCTTTATAGATGATCTGTAAATCTATGGCCCTATCAGTGGCATTTTCTGTAAACCAGCACTGTCCAGTAGAACTTTCTGGAATGATTTTCTGTAATAACGAAAATGTTATGTATCTATACTAGCCACATGTGGCTATTGAACCACACTTAAAATGTGGCTGATGCAACTGAGGAACTGAATTTTAAACTTTATTTTATTTTAATTAATTTAAATGTAAATGATGTGGCTAGTGGCTGCCATGTTGGATGACATGGTTAAACAGTTAAATCTATCTCAGGAAAGCAGCTGTTGCGCTCTTAAATGTTAATGAAGTAATCTCCCATATATTTTTCAAAGCTATTATGGAAGTTTTGGATAAAACTCTCCATAAATTACAGTGGTTTTTTTTTTTTATCATGTTTGTATTGATTTGTAAACTACTGGCTATTTAAAAAATGGTATTTATGTTCATATTATATTTCTCAGGGAGAAACCTCATCAAAATCCAGCCATTGAACATGGAAGAAGATCAAATGTTTTTGTGGACAAACTCAACATCAAAGGATCACCTGTGAAAATCAACAAAAAATAAATAGCCTTGCATTTGATTTGTTTAGTTTTGATTGTTTTAACAGAGAAAGTAATGGTGCTGGGTAATACACATAAGACCAATCCCTTGTTAAATCAGTACTGTACTTAACTTTCTTCTGCTATCTGAATGTTCTTGGAAGTGCTAGCTTTATATTGTCCATACTTTAGGAATAAAACTTTGATTTTCAACAACTTAATTGCTAAACATTCTATAAAACTCTTTTCTTTAAAACATACTGATTTTTAAAGCTGATTTTGCTTTCCCAATTATCTTTCTTTTGGCTATGTTTTCTTTTATATATTCGATTGAATGTAGAGCTAGTTTTATCATATTTATTAGTTATAAGAAAGTAAAATGTTAAAAAATACTCTGTTTTCACTAACACAGTACTACAGTGATGTTAATAAAGGTAAAATTATTTAAATCAGATTTGATGTGTTATATAGCCAACAGCTTTATTTTTTTTTAAGATTTTATTTATTTGACAGAGAGAGACAGCGAGAGAGGGAACACAAGCAGGGGGAGTGGGGGAGGGACAAGCAGGCTTCCCACTGAGCAGGGAGCCCGATGTGGGGCTCGATCCCAGGACCCTGGGACCATGACTGAGCCGAAGGCAGACGCTTAACGACTGAGCCACCCAAGTGCTCCAGCCAGCTAGGTTTAAGATTATGCTAAGTGAAATAAGTCAAGCAGAGAAAGTCAGTTATCATATGGTTTCACTGATTTGTGGAACATAAGGAAGAGCATGGAGGACATTAGGAGAAGGAAGGGAAAAATGAGGGGGGGGAATCAGAGGGGAGATGAACCATGAGAGACTATGGACTCTGAGAAACAAGCTGAGGGTTCTAGAGGGGAGGGGGGAGGGGAGATGGGTTAGCCTGGTGATGGGTATTAAGAGGGCACGTTCTGCATGGAGCACTGGGTGTTATATGAAAACAATGAATCATGGAACACTACATCAAAAACTAATGATGTATGGTGACTAACATAACATAATAAAATTTAAAAAACAAAGGTTTTAAAAAATAAAGCAAAATTATACTAGTACTATTTTATGAGAAATTAGTTATTATTGGTAATAATGAATAATCAAATAATTCTGAATTTTAAGGAAATTTTAAATTGCTAATATATATGAGTTTTGTTCTTTATAATTTCTTTATACACTGTGTTCTTTTTTGTTCCATATTACATTCTTAACATTCATCAGACTTTACATTGACCTTTCTCTTTAACTTTTTTTTTTTTTTTTCTCTAACTTCTTAAGGTAGCGTATTTCTGCTCTCCTTTCCCACAAACAGTTTAATCTGTCTCCACAGTTAACATTCTAAAGTTGGAGTGTCCTTGGAGAAACTCTGCTCAGCCTTTTTGTGACATTTAGAAAAATGCATTTGGTATTCTGTAAACCTGAATGATTGATTGTCTCAAAATTTCTTAGACAGGTGATATGTGTGTTTGAGCAAGGTACTTAATAATTCAGTTGTTCCTTTTATACCATTTAAAAATTCAGCTTTAGCTTTTTTATTCTAGAATTCAAGCATTAACCTTTTTTAGAAAGTTTAAAGTTTATGAGAATATAAAATCTTAACCCTTACAGGAGGAAAAACAACAGAAAATACACTATCACTTTATAATCCTAATATCTTGCTTTCTTCACTTTGGAAATAGACCTATGTCATTGTGCTTATACTTTCCTAATTTTCCATATTATATCCTGTTAATTTTATTAGTCAGTGTGTTTCATGCCTGTAATTAGTTACTAAAATAAGATACATACATGTCAATTCATTTTTATAAGAAAAAGTAATTGAGCAGGTATTATTGAAAGATGTTAACATTTTCCTCTTATGCATACTTTAATATACTAATAACATATTGGGAAGTTGTCATAAGGCATAAATTCTAAATACTTTTGCATAAATTTACTTGATAGAGCAAAATCCCAATAGAGTAGACACTGTAATTATTCTTCTTCTGCCTAAATCATTGCACTGATGGTAATTTGAATCATTATATTCAAATATAAAAACATACTTTAATAAATAATTGTATTTAAAACAGTATAACTTCTCATCATATAGCAGTTAGAGCATTTACAGCTATTTTTTCTCCCAATTTGTTTACCATAGAAAGTAAATAAAAATTGAATTAAATATATATTTCTTCTTATTCCACAGTGCTTCATAAGGGGACACTCATAAAACTGTGTGACATAGATTAAATGTCAATTCTTCATATTCAATGTTGCTGAAATTGCCTCTCTTCAGAATTATTTTTACCATACTGCTGAAGTCAACCACATAAGAAAGAAGGTTCTCTGTAGCTTGTATACAGTTCATATTATTTTTCCTTTGTGTACAACCATTGATCTTTCTGGAACCCTGGATCTTTTGGGAATGGGAAGATAGTAACAATTTGGGAAATGTGGCCTTGGCAATGAGGCCAAGTTGCATACTTAACACTCCTTGCTACATTAGAGATTTTCCTTGTACCTGGTAGTCTCAGTGATAGGTTTCCATTACTCTACCTTTATGACTCCATTATCCCTTACAGTCACAAGGCAAGGGCAGAAGCACATTGGAACTGAGGGTTGCTGGAGGGGAGGGGGGTGGAGGGATGGAGTGGCTGGGTGATGGACATTGGGGAGGGTATGTGTTGTGGTGAGCGCTGTGTATTGTGTAAGCCTGATGAATCACAGACCTGTACCCCGAAACAATACATTATATGTTAATTAAAAAAAAAAAGAATCAGATGGTGCCCTAAATGTGGTAACATGATGATGATGGTATTTGGAGATGTTGCTTTGGGGAGATGATTAGGTCTTGAGGGTGGAGCCCTCCTGAGTAGGATTAGTGCCTTTATAACGGAGACACTAGAGAGAGCTCCCTTACCTTTTTTTTGTTTTTTAGGATTTTATTTATTTATTAGGGAGAGACGGCACAAGCAGGGGGAGCGGCAGCACAAGGAGGGGGAGCAGCATGAAGAGAGAGAGGGAGAAGCAGGCTCCCTCACAGAGCAGGGAGCCTGGGATCGTGACCTGAGCCGAAGGCAGACACTTAACCAGCTGAGTCACCCAGGTGTCCCCCCTTACCCTTTCTATTCCTACTGTTTATAAGCCACTATATTGTTTATGGTATTTTTGCTATAGCAGCCTGAATGGACTAAGACAGTTGTCTTAGGCTGATAGGGCAAGGACAATTTGGAGATTCTACTGAAGTGTGACATAGACCCTCACTGCAGTGAATTAGGATCTTCAATTTAGTAATAATGTACATATCTGAGACCTCTTGAGTCCCCTCTGTCCCTAATTACATGGAATTTGCAGTAAATTTGCATTCTGATGATTTCTTTGTCCCCAGGATCATGCTTATTTTGTCTTGGGGATTGGGAGTTCTGATCAGACTTTGGTGTTCTCTGGTGAATTTGACTTTAAGCACCATCTCCTATCTTCTGACTACTTGCCCAACATCTTATATTATTTGTCTGTGAAAACTTCCCTCAGTCTTGTCACTTGTATGAGAAGTTTGCTTTGGGAGACGCCTTCTATCTACCCATGTTGCCTTCTAACCACATGTGTCTCAGGTCGGTAGTCATGTGGCTTAATGTTAAAGCCTGAGACAGACATAGCAGTCAGTGTTTTACATTTGATAGAACATCAGGCGGTTTTTCATGGGTTTGTCAGCTAATAGACTTGTACAACCTCCTGGCACAACTTTAGCAAGGAATTGTAGTGACCATTTTGGGGAACTTGGATGTGAAAAAAACTTGCACTTGAACAAGGCACTTGCCTTGAGAGGCACGTTGGAAGAACAACACCAAAAAACAACAAACAAAACCTCAGGAGAGCCTTTGTGTTATTTGTCTAAAAGAGACCACTTTGTTTATGTAAAAGACTCTCTGTCTTTTATTTCCATACTTCATAGCTTTTTAGAATTTTTTTTTAAGCAGGCTCCATGCCTAGCATGTAGACCAATGCAGGCCTTGAACCCAGCCCTGAGATCAAGACCTGAGTTGAGATTGAGAGTTGGACGCTTAACCAACTGAAGCACCCAAGTGCCCCCATACTTTAGAGCTTTGTAACTGTATGGTTTATATTTAAACTTTCTCCTCCCTTCTTGAAAGGGGGAAAGTAATTAGCCTTTTACAGGAATACTTTAATATTTGTATAATTAATTAAAGAAGCCATTAGACTGAGACGGCTTTAATGTCTTAGTAGCCCATGTAAACAAACTAAAACAAGCCTGTTATGCCTCAAGGTTAAGAAATTGAAACCTAAAGACATCAATCACAAATAGCCAATTAGGCTTTCCCATATAAGGCAACCATTTAAACTATAGCCAGCCAATCAAATAATCAAATAATTTCCTTGCTTTGCTTCTGCCTCTTTGTTATAAAAGTCTCCCTTAGCTCTAGTTGGTGAAGACCTCCTAACCACCACTTCCTGTTTGACCACCGCCTGGTTGCAATTGATTTTTCCTCAAACTGGAATTTTCTTTTAAAGATTTTAATTTTTTTCAGTAATCTCTACACCCACTGTGGGGCTCGAACCTACAACCCCAAGATCGAATCACATGTGCTGCTGATTGAGCCAGCCAAGTACCCCCTCAAACTCAATTTTTAATATGCCATCTAGCTCACTGTTTTTCCTGTTCCTCCCAATTTTTTCCTCCCACTTGAAAATTTTTAAAGATTTTATTTATTTGTTTGTTTATTTAAGAGAGAGCATGTGTGAGTGGGGGGAGGAACAGAGGGAGAGGGATAAGCAGACTCCTTGCCGAGCTGAGCACAGAACCCGACATGGGGCTTATCCCAAGACTCTGAGATCATGACCCGAGCTGAAATCAAGAGTCAGATGCTCAACCCACTCAGCCACCCAGGCACCCTGCACTTGAAAAATTTTAAAGATGAATTAAGAAAAAAGTCATTTTTGCATATGTGTAATCTAGGAATATCTATCTAGTCCAAATAGTCTAAAATGTCTAAGAGAAAAAGTCAAACTATTTGTGCTGTTTTGCA